TCTGTCTTAAGCTGGATCGAGTGACCACAGACTCACTTTGGTCAAAGTTAAGTAGAATCATTTTCTTGTTGCGTAGACTTAAAAGTAATGCCTTTTGTTTTCCTTGAATATGTTTTTTTTTTTGCTTTTTTCCAATCTCACATTGGGTATGGTGCTAGGCTATGGGGTCATTCCAGCAGGACCCACAGTGTTCTTCTGTTGCAAAAAATATCAGTAAGAATTATGCCAAACACCGAGCCCATTGCAAACCATTGTTCAAAACTGTGTGGTGCAATGACTATTATTAATATTTATACATTTTCAGTGCCTAGTAGCAATCAAAGATAACGAGAGGGTATTTCTGACAAACAGCGACATCCATATGTATAATACAAGGAATAGAAATAACCTTCACATGAGCAGATCTAGGTTAAGTTTGGTCTCGAGTTGTTGACCTGTTTCAGGTATGAAATCGCCTCCCATAACAGCTGTAAAAAAACTGTGTAAAACTAAGTTTGTGAAAACTATAAAATCATGACTTTTGTTATTATTGGATGAGTTTTATGAAGCAGATCTCTCTAGCATGATGATATAAGAAAGATTATACAAGTAATGTATAGCTTGGTAAGATACATGGTTTGCTGCTTTGCAGATGCTGTTTTCTTTGAACTCTTGATTTTATTTTGTATGCTTGCATGTTTGCTTTTTATTATTTGATGTTTGATTTGTGCATGTTAAATTGTAATGCTTGATATTACTTAGCATTGTACATTATGTATTTAATGGCCAAATAAAATGATTTATTTATGATTTATTTAACCAAACGTGCCATTGAGTTTGGGTACTGCAAATAAACATTTCGTTTATGTGAACCCGACATCAGAGCATATTTTAAGGGACTTCCACTGGGCGACAGTGGCGCCGGACTTACCCGGGGGTCTGGAATACCCCCATCAAAAAGTGGGGTCCTAGGCCCCCCCGAAAATTTTTGAATAGATTTAAATGAAAATTACACATTTCTACGTATCTTTTAATGAATTTTTCGATTATATTTGCTTGTAAATAGTCCATTAAATCTCACTTAATTACGTATTCTGGAACTTTGTAACTGGCTAAGGCTCCCTTCACAACCTCTTGGGCCAAAATCATAGCTCGATCAATACTCTAAAATATTTACTTTATGTTATTTTTAAAATTCCAATACATTTAAAATGTGAATTATTGAAAAAAAATATGCCGGCACCACCCATAGTCACTGGGCGATAAAATCCCAGCACTAGGCGACATTTGTGTCGCCCAGTTAACATGTTATTTTATGCCCTGTCAGGTTGTCTTATTGTAAGTAGTTCAACATATCAATAGTATAATGTACACTAACATAATTTTATATTGACGAAACAACTGAACACTTACCTGCTGTTTAGTTTTGTAACATAGTTTGTTCAATTAAAGATGCAATATGACGAAGCACCTTATGATGAGACACTTTTTTGGCGTGTCCCAGTTCACCACTCAGGCAAAAAGTGTCTTTTCAACGTGATGAAATATACTATTTACCATTGGCTACAGTGGCGGTTCTAGGACCTTGTCAAGGGGGGGGGGGGTGTGGAGCAATTTTGTATTTTTCAAAGCAGTTTGGTGACTTTCTAAAGCCATTTTTAACGCCTAAAACTGTGTGATGATTTGGTGTTGATCATCATATTAAGATATATTATTATTCTCAGTATTTTTTTTATATTTTTTATCTTTGTTTAACTGGCTTGGAGTAATGTTAGTGCTCGCTGAACATTCAAAACTAAGTTTGCAGGCTCAATTCTGAGAAAAGTTCAGCGCTTGGATTTAACCTAACCTAAAAATGTGTTGTATAATGTTTGAAATCATTTATATAATTTAAATTAACTGTAGGAAAAATATAATGTGCAACGCGAGTGCAAAGTGCCACTTCGTACTCTGGTACAAAAATAACTATTGTGTATGAATGAGCGCAAAGTACGTCACTGCCACCAAGAACTGTAGATAGCCGTACGAAGCTTTAGCCAATGAATACAAACCCGATTGAGTTGAGAAGCGAAATGCTTAATAATATTATGGAGAACAGTCAGACTGGAATTTTTCCGCCAAAATGAGCTTCTAACTTCAATTATTGTAAAAAACACTCCATTTCACCTGTTGTTTATCATGAGCAAGTGGACATTAAAAAAATTTTGGCTAACTATGAAGATTGCATTCATGTATTTCAAAACATACTGTAAACTACGGCCATATCCTCTTAAAGCCATTTGGTGACTTCTTAAAGCCATTTTTAACATCTATAACTGCTGTTTCCAAAACCTCCCATTTTCCCTTTATTTTGTCATGCTTAAGTAGACATTTTTAAAACTAAACTATGACGATTGCATTCATAAATTTCAAAACATACTTAAAGCTACGGCCATATCCTCCTAAAAGCTGTTCGGCGACATTCTAAAGCCATTATTAAGTTAATGTCTAGAACTGTGTCCAAAAACCTTATAATTGATCTGTTATTTGTCATGAGCATTTCTTTTTCCAAAGATAGTGTGACAAATTAATCATTTTACGCAATTTGCCCCCTTCGCCCCCCCCTCTGGATCCGCCACTGTCTACAAACCGGGTTATGTAATAATTCATTAAATATTTAGTGCTTCCATGGTTTTTACAAGTATTATGCTTGTGTAAAATAAAAAAAATATTTGTTTGCAATAAAAACAACTACGATTTTCCCCTCTTCAATACCATTATTACATTTCATCATGAAAAAATCAAGGGTTCAAACTATTATTTTTCCTACAGTCACCCGACAAAGTTGGCTTCCCTGTACTGTTTATAGTACAGAAAGCTGCTAATTGCTGCATATTTATACTTTGCCGTACGGTTTATACTTTGCCGCACGGTTTATACTTTGCCGCACATCAGGATTCCAACCAAACAACACAAAACAGCGTGGTTTTATTATGCACGTAATCCGTGTACGCTTGGAAATAGGTTGGCAACACTTAAAAGATAATAATACTATGAACAGCTGATTGGTTATTATAACTACGATTTAACCTGTCATTTCGTGTTTATAGTTTTGGTATTTCTGAACTTTCTGGACTTTTCTTTTAAACGTTTTTAAAACATTCCTACGATCTTAATAAACAAGAAAATACCTTTAAAGCATTTTTTTATGCGCGGAAACCACTTAAAATTACAAAAACATACGAAACTATATTCTCAAAAGACGGAGCACATTTCTTGCCGAGGAAAAATAGCGGAGTGATACGGACCACGGGTACTACTTTCTCCAGGGCACCATTTGTGTAATTGTGTTGCTAGCTGAACCTAAAAACATGTTGTATAGTGTTTGAAAGACTAATTATTTATGTTTTATAGTGACTGTAGGAAAAATATAATGTGTAACACGAGTGAAAAAGGCCTTTGCTGCACTCGAGATCAATCCGCACTCGCCTGTGGCTCGTGCGTAAACATTGCTCTCGTGTGCAGCAAAGTGCCACTTTCACTACTAGTTACACAAATAACTATTTAAAATAGTTAAAGGATTATGGTAGGATCATAAAATTTTCGTAACAATATGAAAAAATGAATATTGAATATAGATATTATGTCTAAAGTTTAAAGAGCTAAATATAAAATGTTTTTTTATATACCCTTTTTTATTTGGGGGTTATTGACTGAAAGGAGCAGACCTACCCTAGTAGTCTCCTGTGCTTGTCAGCCACAAGTTGGCTTTTTGGGCTCCTTTTTAGTGGTTCAGATTCCGTCAAACCAGAGTTGCTTGATGAACTGCAGCATCATGTCTGCAAGCTGCTCCTAAGAAAGGTGTCTACCATGAAAATGGGTCATGGTGTGTATTTAAATCCCATTGAAATTATCATGACATGGCTTTCTTCGGTTTCAAAAACAAAAATGCAAAAACAGTAGGCAAAAACAAGTACAGACGCCATTATGGCAAACATAAAGAGTTCTCTGCCGCTCTCAAATAAGAGAAATAAAGAGTTTAAAGGAGCCTGAATGATCCAGCAACTATAAGGAGGCAAGGCATAAAACAGAGAAATATAGAGGACTAAGACAAATGCATAGGTACCTCTCTTGTAAGGTTTAAGTTGATTTTAATTTATAAATTTTTTTTGTTTATTTACAAAACAAAAAAAAACCTAAAAAAGAAAGTTTAAGTTGAAGTAAAGTTTATTTAAAACTTTTTTAAATCGCAAATAATGTTTTTTTTTACGAATTTTCAAATGTATTTTATAAATATTGCATTTTATGGGTAAACGGTTAATTATATCGAAATATTCTTCATACAAAAGTTGTAGCTCTTTCTTTGGCAAACATTCTTTACTTTAATGTTCTTTTATAAGATAAATAGTTTTTGAGTAATCGGGGAAAAACTGGTTTTTGGACGCCATTTTCCAAGATGGTGGCCGTAGCACAAGTTTTTTTTTCGAGGACTTTTAGTATGTTATTCCGGAAGTAAAATTCAATATACGTACCAAGTTTTACACTTAAGAGTTTTTTTAGGTAATGGAGAAATTTTGATTTAAAATGACTACACTAATGTCTTATGACCTTGTCTTTCCAACTAATTATTATAAGAGAACCTTTTAAGTCACAGAAAGGAGAATTTTATTTATATTTCCCACATTTTTTAAAAGCATGGTTCATAGGCATGTTTATTGTTACAATTTATAGTTTTATTGCAAATTGGACCTCAGAAATTTAAGGTTTTTTAAGTTATTAAGACTGAGTTTTCTACATAGAATTGAAGTTGAGCAAAAATTAAATCCTCCTTCAGTACAGTATGTCTATTAAACTTCTATTGGGTTGAAGTAGTTTTCTTTACGGTTACGATCCATAAAAAATACACAAATTGCAGTTGTAGTAAAATTGTCATTTCTTAAAACAAAATGTTTTATTCTCAGTAAACAAAATACTATTAAACACCCCAAAACAAACATCACTCATGGAATGGGAATCAATAAAACACATTGGTGGAAAAGATATCTGTTTTTCTCTCCAAAATATGTATTTATTCAATCTAAGACTTTACATTGTATCGAAAAAGTCATAAAGTTCTTTTATTCAATAGTAATTCATCTTTAACATGACAACAGAACCGCTTCTAAGTACTTTGACACAAGGAAAATAAGGTTAAGTACAAATGAAACAGCCTACAGTACAATTAACAATAACACGCAAGTTGCAACTGGCGAACACGGACATCGTAACTGAAGCTAAGCGACTACAGTGGTTGGGTGATTGTACTGTAAGGCTCATGAGAAGCTTCAGGTCGCAACTATGGACTTACGACACGCTCAGTGAGATCATTGTAACCTTTTGTAACGATTTACAAACTGGGATGGAAATTTTACAACGAAAAATTCACACCGGTAAAAGAGGTCACCATGAAGAGTTTTTTGACAAAAGGTTACGTAGGAACATGTATTTTCACAAGGTCAACAAAAATTTCACAACAACTAATCGATCCATAGTTACAGCTTCAACATAATCTTTGGTTTAGGGTTGAATATTGTCGCCCACAATTAAGATGAATAACACAACGATTGTAACACATAAAACAATATATATATTTCTTACACTAGATTGTAGCTTTTTAGCACAAGTATTGGATGTGAACGTGTAGCATGTAGGATAACATTTTTTATTGGTTTGTTAATTTTTTATGAAATAGTAAAAACATGAAAAATGTGATACGATTCGACAACCTTTGACTTTTTTATATGAAAAGAACGTTTGTTGACATCAAATACAACATAAGCTTTAGTAAATTTGTAGTAGACCATTTTGAAAAAAATAATATGTTTTAAATTCAATAAAAAATAGCAGATCATTTAACTGACCCAGCATTCAGAAATAAATTGAATTACAATTAATGACTGCTGGCGAACATACAATAGATAAAATTATATTATAAAATGCAAAATGCAAGTTAAACAAATTGAATGTATATTAGTGTTGTAAAAGTGTTTTTATAAAATGTTTCACTCAATTTTAAAACGTTTTTAGTGCTTCAGTGGTTTTATTCAATTAATTTGAATGCAGCGAAACATAAATAAAACAATTAATCTCCAACAAACATAAACAATAACATTACTGTCACAAATAAAATATAAACTTATGATTCACTGGAAAACATTATACATTGACATTAATAAGAAACACATTGATTTTGAATTAAAGAATTCAATAAGCGCTAAACAATAAATTATTAAATACAAGCTATCCAATAGCATAACATTATTTCATGTAAGATTTCTATAAATTAGATTGTTTGGATAAAATGGAGTACTAAAACCTTAGAAGAACAAAATAGCTGACAATTAGTTTACATATAAAATTATTTCTATAAATTAGGATGTTTGGATAAAATTAAGTACTAAAACCTTAAAAAAAAAACAGGATAACTTGATGATCAGTTTACAGTAACCATTGGCTATACAATAACCACGTTCACCATGAAATAGCTTGTGATAAGAGCCTTATGAAGCTACATCAAAGATAACACTTAGTGATAATAATAAATAATAATGTATAATAAAGTAACACATGGTCTTAATTAATAAGGCTTTCCGCACTCTTCTAACAACAAAAACCTTAACTTTCAATTCCTTTGAAGTGATGTTCACTATGCGGCAAAGAAAAAATACAAACTGGAATATGTTTTACAGAAAGGAATATGAGTAACTTATAGAAAAGCCATATATGTAATAACAAATACATGGCACTAAAGTTTGCAACTCAATAAATTGCATAAATTCCCCATAATGACTACTCAATAACTACGCAAAAGGGTTTAGATCTTTCTGACACAATAAAAATAAACACAACAAAAAAACGTCCACTGACTTATAACACTAATGAAACACAAAAATTACATACACATGTTACAAAAAGAAACTTTAAATAAACTAAAACACTCTCAAATAATTAAAACCGCGATATTACGCATCGAATACAACATTCAAGCTCAATAATAAACAATTTTCGAGTATTGCCAGAAAAATCTAAACCTTCTAAAACATATTAGAACCGACTACATAAAAACTAAACATCGCAGCCTCATCTAAGTCGTACAAATTTTATTTGTACATTCGTAATTTGACTATTTTGATATGAACGAACGACTCCAAACCGTTTATGAAAGGCCAAAGGTGGTTCCGATATACTAATCTTGATTTTACGATAAAACAGCTACGACGTATCTAATCACTTCACTGGGGTGGCTAAAACAAAACTAACAAATTTGTCCGAACACACGACGTAAAACAGTCACATAATTTAACTATAAATCACTGTTTTCCAAAATTTTCAACAACAACGATTTACTATCCAATCCGTCGAATGTCTCTAATTGGTCCATAAAAGATCAGTCAGCATCTGTGGATCGGGCGTTTGTACAGAGGCGATAAAAACACTACTCGGTGCGTGGCACTGGACCGGCACTTTAACAACACACTGGTAACAAAATAAAACAACTAAACCGACGTAACTAGCAATAAATAAACATGACCATATATCAGACTTGATTCTTCATCTATTTGGTATAATCAAAAGAAAACGATAAAGAAGAAAACAAAAATCGGGTTCCAACCCGTAAGACTTCTAGCGTGAAGACAAAAATAAACCACAAAATAATAATGAACGACTAATCAAACAAAACACTAAATTATAAGGTGAACTCTCTGCAGGTAGGAACAAGTGGTTAGTACGGCTTAGAGATTGATTGTCCTTTCTTGCGCTTGATCTCCACTTTGAGTTTCTTGCCCCCGACGTGGTACCCGTTGAGGTTCTGAATGGCTAGTTGTGCGCTCAGAATGTTGTCGTACGAGACGAAACCTGCAACAAGCATTACATCTAATGCACGCTGCACACTGCACAATACACTGTACTAGTATATTACGTTACTAGTGTGGAAAATAGTTGTTTACTGGATGAGTATGGTAAACACATTTTGGACGAGTGGCATATGATATTTATGCTTTAAAAGCTAACCTAACAATGAAAAAAATGTACAAATCCTATACAGTATATTCCCACCCACTTAAGGATTTAACAATCATAACTTAACTTTCAAGAGAAGTTATGTTTTTGTTTATAACCACTCATTGCCAATTGTTGGTGTCCGGTAAAAATTTATTACCATGTCACAGAGTACACAAATGAAACCCCTATTTGATCACGCAGCTGGCTAACAGCAGTTTCCGAATTTAAATTTTTGCGTGGAAAGTCCATTAAACTAAGTAGTGTTGTGAAATAGTAAGTTACTAGTCCTGAAAATAGGTGTTTACCGGACGAATGTGGTAAACACATATTGGACGATTGACTTACAATATTTTACGCCATACTACTGCTAACCTAACAATAAACAATTTTTACTAATCCTTATATATTCCAATCGTCTAAAAGACTAACAATCTCTATTCATATCCTATAAGAGAGGTTATGTTTTTGTTTATATTTACTCATTGCCAAATATAATCAGTTGGTTGGTGTTCAGTAAAAGCTTATTACAGTACAGTAGTATGTAATTAATAGTTATTTGTGTAACTAGTGAGCAAAGGCCTTTTGCACTTGTGTTACACATTATATTTTTCCTACAGTCACTATAAAGCATATAAATAATTAGTCTTTCAAACACTATACAACTCGTTTTTAGGTTCAGCTGGCAACAAAAATAGGTGCCCTAGAGAAAGTAGTCCCCGGTCCGTATCACTCCGCTATTTTTTCCTCGGCAAGCAATGTGCTCCGCGACTTAAGAAAATAGTTTCGTATATTTTTGTAATTTGCAGTGGTTTCTGTGCCTAAAAAAATGCTTTAAGGGTATTTTCTTGTTTATTAAGATCGTAGGAATGTTTTAAAAACGTTTAAAAGAAAATTCCAGAAAGTTCAGAAATACCGAAAAGAGAACATAAACTATAAACACGAAATGACAGGTGAAATCGTAGTTATAATAGTCAATCAGCTGCTCATAGTATTATTATCCAAGTGTTGCCAACCTATTTCCAAGCGTACACGGATTACGTGCATAATAGAACCACGCTGTTTTGTCTTGTTTCGTTGGAATCCTGATGTGCGCCAAAGTATAAACCATACGACAAAGTATAAACCGTACGACAAAGTATAAACCGTACGACAAAGTATAAATATGCAGCAATTAGCAGCTTTCTGTACCGTACTATAAACAGTACAAGGAAGCCAACTTTGTCGGGTGACTGTAGGAAAACCCCATTTTGTTTAAGCTGGTGGCAAACAGCTGTTTTCAGGACTAAATCTTTGCATGGGAAGTTTGTTAAAACAGTGTATTGTGGCGTAAAAAGTATTACTTTTAGTTGATCCAGAAAACTGCAGTAGATTACTGTAATAAATAACTGAAAGAGCCTGTGACAAATTTTTTTTACCAATGTCAGATAAGATGTTTTTTTGCCCATGTCAGATAAGATGTTTTTTTGCCCATGTCAGATAGGATGTTTTTTTGCCCATTTCAGATAAGATGTTTATTTTACCCATGTCAGATAAGATTTTTTTTGCCCATGGCAGATAAGATGTTTATTTTACCCATGTCAGATCAGATTTTTTTGCCCATGTCAGATAAGATGTTTATTTCACCCGTGCCAAAAAATAAGGTGTTTCACAGAAGAGAAGGATTATTATACTATAATGTTTCATACAATAATGCTTTGGATCCACCTTAACTTAAAATAAAATAAGAAATTCATTTATCTGATTTCAACAACTTCAAGAAAATATTTTGATCAAATTAGTGTATAAATTCATATTTATTCAGAACGTTACATTAGAAATAGCTTAAGGTCAGTGTATGAAACTAAACAGTTTATTTTCTTATTGATGACATGTGCTCCATACTTGGTGGTTAGCTTACTTGCCACTTATGACAATGCAACTGGTTTAGAACAAAAGAAATACAATACATTTAAGAAAGAAAATGAAGCTACTGTATATATTGGCACTGGTAGGTTATTAAGGGACAACTTTCATAACATTGCTTGCCAACAGTTGAAAAGTTTTAAGAATGACAAACTAAAAAAATGTTTCATGAATGTTTTCAACAACTGAAATTAAACATTGAACAATTCCATACCAGCAGTTCATGAGTGGATACTTTTCAGAGTTAAACACTTCTTAGGCACAAAAACTTAATAATGGTTTAATTTACCTCTGTCAATATGGTCCTTGCGTAGTTTGTCACTACTGCAGTTTCGTGCTCGTGGAGCACATCATCAGGTGAAGGTCACAAAAAGTTAAAACATTTTCCTCACGTGAAGGTCGTCAATTTAACACACCGAAAAAACACATAACACACGAACAGTACGAAAAAACATTTGAACTTGGCCAATACATTAAAGACGTTACACACGGGGTCCGGCGCCGGTAGAAGGCAAGTCATGACTGACGTGTGTTGTAGTCGGTAGCCCCCCCGTCCTCACTTCTCTTATCAGAACCTTTTCTTTGGTCTTGTTCCAGGATGTGAATGGGGGTATTATAAATAATGTTTGACTGGAATGAGAGTTGTTCGTTTAAAATATGGTTTGGATGTACTTTAGCTGCTCGGTAAATCTCAAATTCTTCGATGGTGTCCATGTATTTACTTTTATGACAAGTATGCATTACTTCTAAATTTGTTTGTATATCGGTATAACTATGGTTTGAATCAATGATATGGTTGGCAAAAGCTGATTTATTCAAACCATAGCTATACCGATATACAAACAAATTTAGAAGTAATGCATACTTGTCATAAAAGTAAATACATGGACACCATCGAAGAATTTGAGATTTACCGAGCAGCTAAAGTACATCCAAACCATATTTTAAATGAACAACTCTCATTCCAGTCAAACATTATTTATAATACCGCCATTCACATCCTGGAACAAGACCAAAGAAAAGGTTCTGATAAGAGAAGTGAGGACGGGGGGGGGCTATACCGACTACAACACACGTCAGTCATGACTTGCCTTCTACCGGCGCCGGACCCCGTGTGTAAGGTCTTTAATGTATTGGCCAAGTTCAAATGTTTTTTCGTACTGTTCGTGTGTTATGTGTTTTTTCGGTGTGTTAAATTGACGACCTTCACGTGAGGAAAATGTTTTAACTTTTTGTGACCTTCACCTGATGATGTGCTCCACGAGCACGAAACTGCAGTAGTGACAAACTACGCAAGGACCATATTGACAGAGGTAAATTAAACCATTATTATTGTTGCTGCAATGGTCCAGAGGCTACCCATCATGAAACAAAAACTTAACTAAGGATATACATCTTTAAGAAAAATAAATTTTTTTGTTTCTATAATTACTATGCCAAAGTAAAAGACAAATCATCTAAAATTCATAAACACTTTTATTTTGTACTTTTCGAGTTTATACTGTGATGGAATCAAATTTATCATTGTTGAGTCGGAATATTCTTGTCTTTATCTAAAACTCAAGAGAGAGGTTATGGTCATTGACCGAAAACCTCACTGATATTCGTTACAAGTTTATGTACAAGCCATTTTCTTGTAATGGCTACAAGACAGCTTTACTTAGCATGGACAATACAAGACAAAACAAGACATCACGGGACAGCACTCCAAACCAAGCTCTAACTACTAAACCAAGTTAACCATGCATATTGGTTTAATCATTAGGTAATCATAACTGCAAATTAAGAAACAATGGTCTAGTAAAAAGCTGTTTCAAATAATTTTACCTGTAAAAGAATCAAATGTCTTTTATCATGGCAGTGACACCAGGTATCTTACTTTGTATCTTAATTCCTACAGTTAAAACTACATAGGGCATAACTGAATCTTTTCCATTAGTCTGTATAACTGTTAAGGTGTTATAACCCATAATAAGAAGACGAGAGGTAATTAGTTCTAGAATTATCAGTAGAATACAAGTTTTATACGTATAATTTATGGCTGTTTTGTTAGATACCTCGATAAAAATTCAGATGCACCCAATTAAAACTAAACTAAATGTCTATGGCAAGAATAAAATTTGTGTATCCCTTTACGAGGTAACATTCACATTGAATACAGAACAACACATTCTTTTTGGTAAAGCTAGCCAAAAACATCAAACGCGACTAATGGAAAAGACCCGAATAAAACTATCCGATATTCCGCCACTCACCGAAACATTTGGTCATATTTGTCTCTTTGTCGATGTATACTTTGGCAGATATGACGTTGCCAAAAGGGGTAAACGTCTTAGCGAGCATGGTGTCGTCAAAGTCGGCGGGGAGATGGTAGATGAACAGATTAGCACCGTCGGGCCCCTGTGGCTGCTTTTGATGATAGTGCTTGGCGGCTGTAACATGCCCAACCCTCCTCAGTGGAGATCTATCACACGACACCAACACACTCAAAGTACAGTTCTGCTCAATGTCAACCCTTTATTTAATATGAGGTTTGTTTTGGCTTCCAACGATTTTGACGGATTTTATGTGTATGGATAAAGTTTTATTTTTTGTATTCGACTTCAAACAGATGCGTCCCAAAAGATAGGCGATCTTCGAAACATTGCCTTCATTTTAGTAATATTAGTATCATTGCATCCTCTAATACAAGGCCGCGGCGAGACATAAGTGGCAACACTGTGGAGTTGTCCGTTGATATGTAAAATAAAAAAAAAAAAACACCGCTGTCTCGTCAAACCAAAACGGCTATTGAACTAATTTATAATGGACAGTATAGGAAATGTTTATGTTTGCACTTTTGTCATTTCTGTTATTAAACACACAACAACGGGCCTTGTATTAGAGGAGCCTATGTTGGTATTGGAGTAATCAATTTAAATAATAAAGAAGTTTGATCACAGTGAATATTAATTACCAATGGTGCAGTGATGTGAGAATGTAGGGTTTTCTGCTATTTAGAATATGATGTTTTCGCAGTCCCAGTAGCAAATCATAAAAAAGTCAAACCAGAAAACATTGGAACACCATTAGTAAACCAAGGAACTGAGTAGAAATAAAACTGTTAGCTTAGATTATGGGATAGAGAAAAATGGATTTTTTTTTTTAACTTGGATTTATATTTAATGTTTGTTGAGCAATAAGGGTTTACGTTCATGTAACATATAGAGTAAAATATATAAATAAACATCAAGGTGTAAGGACACTATTAGTCGACTGACACCCATACAGATGAATCAACTTGATTGAATCCCAACAAATATTAATAACAGTGATAATGGTAGATATGCTATCTCCAGTGATATGCTATCAATCTCAGATTCTATCAGGATTCTAGTGATATAGGTACTCAATGAAGATAATGCTTAATCTATTGCTGAAGAGAGTGTAGAAGATGTGAATTGGAAAACAGATTGCTCTAAGCTTGCAATGTAAGACTTCAAAGCAGGATTATTTCAATAATATAATCATAAGAGGTATTGACTTTAAAAACTGAATTCAGATGACAATCCGTTTTGAAAGATGGTCCTTACCTTTACCAGATTGCTCTAAGCTTGCAATGTAAGACTTCAAAGCAGGATTATTTCAATAATATAATCATAAGAGGTATTGACTTTAAAAACTGAATTCAGATGACAATCCGTTTTGAAAGATGGTCCTAACCAAATACGATATACCAAATACCTTACCATCAACTCGTATTTGTTTAATTAATTTCACATTTAATTAAAATTACACCATAGTTCCCTTTGCTTGACACAGTGTTATAGGGAATATGTTGTATGGTGAATTCCATACTGGGAAGGAAGATGCTCAGTCATAGAAATATTGAAGGACACCGAAAAAGAATGGTTTTGTAATTATTTTATGTATCTTGACATTTCCGGAATTTAAACTGTCCCTTGACATCTGTGTGGCGGCCCTATAACTGACAGGGGAGCTCAGAGGTTGTAGTGCTTGCCTTCAAATACGAAAGTTGCTGGTTCAATCACGATCAGAATCAAATATAGATCCAACAGTCATTTGTAATGATTGCCTATTATGTCTAAAAAAGTTTGTGTAAATGCCCAACAAAATAAAACAGAATGAGTTTGGGCCGTTCCTTACAAAACATTAATAGGAAATGACAACAGCATTGGAACATGAAATAAAGAAAATTAAACAATGAAGAAAGTTCACAAGAGGATTTATGTTTAGTTCAATACGTAACAGAGCAATGGGTCTTAGTATTTCACAGACTACTTTGCAAAACTATGATCAGGAGAAGATTACTTTCCCTAATAAATTTTCTGAGTAACCAAATGGTTAAAGCACTAGTCCTCAAACCTGAAGGTTGCTGATTTGACCACAGAAGGTAGCCATTCTGGTCCCAGATGCCTTTTATTGAACTATCAAATTAATGGAAAAACTGGATTGGAAATGTTTAAAAACCCAATTATTTGCAATTGTTTGTAATAGTACAAAACCAGGGTTGGACCATCCTAAAAACTAGATTGGAAATGTTTGAAAGGTTGGTAAACATTGGTGTAGGTGAACAGTAAAAATTATAAGTTAATTTACCATCTTTAGCATGCTGATTATCCCACTGGACGACAATATTGAAGTAGTACCAATCTTCTAAGCACAGTTCAAATTATTTACATTAAATAAAGTTTGAAACCGATTGATGAGGTAATGGTAATAAATTCCTACTTTTAAAAGCAAAAACAAAATTAACGAATAAAGTAATGAATTATACCTGATAAAAAATAGATACTGTACTCTTTATTACAATTGGGATTGCCCGATCTTAAAAATTAGAAAAATGTGTAAAGAGGTTCAAAACTAACATTTTATTAGATTAAATCAATTAAATAAGTAAATTAAATATATTTAAAAGAAATTTATAATGATAAAACGTCATACAAGTTTACATAATATGTATAATGTTTTAAAATCATACACATTAAATAAATTACTCTTGTCAAATAAACTATTTCTTTAGCCAAAAACTGTACTTTTAGTGTGTTGGACATAATATGTGCAAACACTGTAAAATGTGAGCGTGCTGGTATTATTTACAAATTTTGTTTTTGATTATTAGAGATTTATCAAATATTTTCATGTAAAATATGCAAATTCTACACAAAACACAAAAATTATAAAAGCACATCTCATAAAAAAAAACAGATAGGAAAACATTCTCTTAAAATAAATAATTAAAAATATGAGTAAGTATTTAAAATACGCTTAGTTGCAGAGAAGGGTCAACAACATAATCAATTCCTGCTACCACAATTATTCATTCAACATTTTTACAACTAAAATATTGTGAAACACTACCTTTATTAAGTCACAAAATACAGAACCTAGGCTACATCTTTACCAATCGGTGTTTAAAACTTAAAGCATCTTATATAAATCAAACAATTAAAGTATGCAGTCTTTAAATATTAAATAAAAATATCTGAAATAACAATATCTTGTTAGTTTTATTTTTACAGAATATAAAATTGTTAGTGAAAAGTAAGTAAAATATTTATGTTTAAAGTTGTAGAAATAATACGGAGACGTTTAACTTTTAAATGAAAAAAAATTGAGTTGAGAAATGAGGGAAAATAGCCAGTGAAAATTATTTTAAAATCTACCCTACAAACATTTTTAAACTACACTAAATTTGTGACAAACTATTGTCAGTTAAATACAATCATAGACTAAAGATTACTAACATAATCAGATTTTTTTGTCAAGATTGCAACTATGTTAAACATTTTTTTATTAATTTTAAACAAAATATAAACCTAGTGCTTACCTTACCATGCAAGAAGCGTTAGTTAATTAATATTATTCACACAAATAAAACATATAACATTCATCACATAGAACATGCTAAGGTAAAGCTGTCCTAACACCATTGCAGAATAAATTTAAAACATTCAATATTATAATTTTACTCCCATAATGAATGGATAGCGAATCATGAACTGTGAATTACAAGTTTTAAAGCTCAAACAGTTTTCATAAAACAACATAGTAATCATTGTGCACAAGATTACTAAACAGACAAAACAAAATTTTACTAGGTTAAATCTTGTTCATCTGTCTCTCTTAAAATATCTTGTATATTTTTAGTGTGATGAAATTAAGTCGTTTTCATTGAAAGGGAGACAAAAAATAAAAATTATTACAAGAGTGAAATGTGGCATTTTCCAATGAAGACCTAATTTTCAATTGAGAATTTAAAAACTTTGGTGATATCAAACTAACAGCATGAAAACCATAATTGTATTTTTAATTTAGCAAAATTAAACACTAACGTTTTAAATCTGACATAACCTTGATAAATCCTACTCCAGTTAATCACTATGTAATTCAAATTATATTTATGACTTGTTTAACGTTCGAGTGATTATTAATCACGTACTAGTGTTTCTACCACCTAGCCCCACATTTACACACTCAATACTTACAGTTGTTTGTGAAATGTGAATAGGCGTCAGGCACACTTAATGCTGCAGAGGTGAGTCCATTTAATGGAGAGTTCAAGGCATTCAAGGTGGTGGATCCAGTGGCTATAACAGACATGCGATGTACAATCAGTGATTCAGAAGTCTCTGTACAGCATTGGACATGCCACATGTGGTGTAGCATGCTGGACTACGAAGTTCAAAGTAATGTCAGACTGGTCCATGTTAGAACTAGGACTTTTATCTTCAAGGGCCAGGTTCAAACCCACCAATCAGCTTTTCCTACGTGGTAAAGATGTGAGAATGTGGTACTGAACTCACTTTACGGAAACTATCTGTCTAGAAAATAAGGTCTTTCAGGTAAGGTGAAGTATCTATGTATGGGATTATTTCTTCCCTTAGGTCATACAATAAAGCTCTAGGCCTATAGTATTCTAACAGTGAAACTAAATTATAGCTCAATTCACAATCTTTACTGTGGGATTGTCATTGAATTGTTACTCAATTGAACACGCTATACAGAGCAGTTTACAAAAGAATATTGGTACCGTATGATAATCTATATAAATAAAATTAGAGTTTTGTCTGTACATTGCTCAGAATTATATACTTTTAGGTTATTTTTACGTTTTATACATTAAAGAAGCAGAAACGAGTCTTATCTCAATTTCTGTCTGTCTGTCTGTCCCTTTGTCTGTAACACTCAAGATGGCATTTTACGCAATCTTCTCCGTGAAAACCAGAGTACATATCAAGATCCAAGTCATTTTAATGTATTCACTGGATTGGCGAGAGTGTCTTTAGTGATTTAAATATAGCCTCACTACTTTGTAAATAAAATTACGGACGTTCAAAATTGCAGTTTTGTGCGATTTTTGTCAAATTTTCGTTCAATTTTTATCACATAATCGTCTATGAAATAACGAACAGCTGTTCGGATCAAGATTATTTTTTCTAGCTGTCAATGACATGTTTACAAATGTTGTTTACAAATACCGCAACTATTTCGAATCACGTTTTGAAAGCAAATCCCAACCAAGTGAGATTAAAAACGTTTTTCTTACAGAACGGATTTAATTAATCGCAAGTGCAATAATATAGTCTAATAGTGTAACCGTAAATGAAATTAAATAACTAGACATCGTCCAAATCGGAACCAGAAATTCTTTGAGTATAAAATGTTTCTTGAGTTTTGACAACCAGAAAGAAGAAGACCTTGAATCAGTGTTGTATAGGGCTGTGACACTGAAATGATCGTCGCCAATAGCTTACAAAAAAGGTTTCCACTCATTGACGGCGCTTCAATGGCGATTGTGTAAAGTGTAAAGTAAAAAATCACAACTGCAGTGGGTGATTGTAACAGAGGTTTAACAGAGGAAGTGCTAAACTCGCTTTTCCAATGTGTCACTTTCTGTTTCTACTAGGCCCATAGCTCATATCTTGGGTACGTAAGCCTACATATTTATTCATAACAACCTTTTTGACGACGATCCTTGATACCGGTACTTTTCCATAGAATACATGGCCTACCTACTTAAAAAATAAAATTACAAATGACCAAACCCCCAACATTGTGTGATTTTCGTCACATTTCCTTCTAATGTTAATAGATATACTAATCATTGTTTAGAGAATGCGTAATCTATTAAATAACAAAAAGTTGTTTGGGTAAGGTTGCTTCTTTTTCAAACTGACACCGATAAGTTTACGCTATAACTTTTTACGAGAAAATCCAAAAGCAAGAGATCAATAACCTCGGGACTAGATATTAATGTATTTAATTGGTCCGATTTACTGTAATTCTTAGGTAGGTTCTTACGTATAGGTACTGGTTCTTTTCCTTAGAACCGGTAGTTTACAAATTAGATATCGTTGGTGTTGCACCTTATTTATTAGAGCCGTCCGTATTCAATTTAAGTGATGTCTTAACTCTGTATAAGTTTTGCTTTTTCTGCCTGGATTCCAAATCTTAGCTTACCCGGTATGCTAAGAAAATGATAACCTATTTGAGTAAAACATTTGTTGGGCAAACCATCATGAATTGTTTACGCCTTTATATTGTTTATGTATCAATAGGTCGTGGCCTTTGTTGGATTGTTGTATTGTGTTGTTTTGTTGTATGTTGGTAACGCATTAATGTCCTTATTTCTCAGTGTTTTACGGAATGGACAAGAGCACCTTTGATACTGAAAATGTCAACCGGAATAAAGTGTTAAATGGTGAGGTTGAGATAGTACTTTAAATACGTTTAAGTTAACCGATGTGGAAAGTAACTTTCAATTATAGGCCTACTTTAGGGCTACGCTTCACGGATCTATAAAACATTTTTAAGTTTAATCATTGGACATATGGACCAACACGATCCGGGCGACATTTAATTGCGAAGCATTTATTTTGGCTTGAACTGTCAGATACTGTATTTGCGAAGGTTTATATATAATAGTTTTGCCAGCATATCTGCAAATATGCAAACTAATTGCTATTCTTAATCTTAATATAAGAAGGTTTCAACTGACTACTATAAGATCCCCGTGCGTAGAACGGGCACACAGCTAGTAAATAATAAAATAAGTTCAGTACAAATTATTTGAAATGTTTACACTTTTATTTAGCTCCTGATGGTAAGGTTTAATCCCAGAAGCATATAATGTGCTAATAATAAGCGTAAACCAATTCAACTCTAAATTTAAAAAAATGGTGAACAAAGTCTGCAATTTTGAAATTCCACACATCCATACACAATATTTCATGGGAATTAATTGAGAGTGGTAGCAATTTATAATACAATTTTTAATACAATTTTATAATTATGGTTTTTGGTACTCAACAATGATAATATTTTAAGGTTCAATAATGGCTATCTTTTATATCAAGTTTTAAGAATTATAACAAAATCTGTCCTGAGTATCCTAACAGTTGACCCAGTTGTATGGGCCCAGTTGTTGGTGGTGTGATCATGGTATTAGTATGTTTATTTTATTATATGTAGGATATTACCGGTAATGATTTTAAATATATAGGATTTCACAAACCACACATTTAACAAGTATAAAACAAAAACAGAACACACACACGTGAATGAGTGCAAAAACATAAAGTAAATAAATAATTTAACAATCCAAACTACCCCAAATAAAAGCAAAATCTTACAACAAAACCATTAGCTACACAACCTCAAAAATGTCTTAGAAAAGCATATTTTATATTCTGTAGGGTCTTCCGTTAAGGTATACAGAATTGCTTCTGAAAATCTTCTAAATGATTGCTGAAAAGAGACAAAATATGTCTACAAAGTTTGTTGAAAAATGTGCTTTGGGGGTTTTATTAAAAAGCAAGATGTTATTGTTGTAATTTATTTTTTCAGTTTTTAATGCTTAAACTGTATTGTTAAATGAATTTTGCTTGTATTCAGTCAATCCATGAAAGTAGAAGAAGACACATGCGGATATGATGCATTAGTTTCATGGTTTTTAATTGAATTATACATGAAGTCCTAAAAACTTGAATAAACTTAAAATGGAAGAAACAAATACTTAATTACAAAACTGAAAAATTAAATTATATCTTATATTATGACGATTAAAAATTATCTGGTGTAGAAGAATAAATTTGTTCGCTGTATATGGGACCACACATCATCCGCCAACCACATATTTTTTTGTGTTTTTTATCTACACCAATGGCATTTTTTACAATTTGAAAGGGAACGGTCCAAATCATTTCAAACATATTCCTAATTTAAAAGATTTCTTTTAGTGTTTTGTCAATTTACATGCAACTTACACAACAAAGTTATAGATCCCAAATGAATAATGTTTATACTCAAAGTCACAATTCACTATGATAACTACTAGGTATTTGTAATATCATATCATTTATTTGTCTTTCTTTACTGAGCCCAAAGAATTCTATCCCTTGCAAAGAAAATATAACTTTAATGATTGACCAGTTGGGAGAACATAGTTGAATGATCCTTCCATAGAGGTTCTGCTATTTTAAGTTGAATGTTACCCTTTGGTTTATCACAGACCCCTAGTTTGTATGTGGCTCGCTATGTGCCTTAGAGTTGTTTGTGCCCTGTCCACCCTCTCCTTGTGTGGAAAAAATTCTCTTCTTCCCTTACAAATCTAAAACATCTTACGCCCCTGGGAAACATTAAAGTGGCTCTGGTTTATCATACTATAAGTTTATGGCATTATAAAATGTACTTTAATCCACAGTAAATGTGCTTCACGTTTAATAAAGACAAAAGTATGCACAGCAGCAAAACAAGTGGATTGATTGAAATACTCGTATGTTAGTTTTCATTCTGCATAGGGATGAGTGGGTTGTAATTTTATCAGTTGTCAGCTAGTAACCATAGGCCTACATTTAGTCGAGTGTGCATTAGTAATAATGCCATCATGACTTTAATCCAAAGATTGTAACACTATTGTAATCATCTTCCACAATCATGGAAAAATCTTGAACATCTCCCGCGGTTTTAAATACATCATTATCATCATGCCCTGCGATCGATAAACCAAAATTTACTCAAATGTCTGTTTTGTAAACTGGTTAACACGTTCGCGGCGGCATGGGAGCGATCGCTCCCATACGGAACCCTAATGCCATCCTGGTGGGTGCGATCGCTCCCAAGCTGCAATGCAGTACGAAATGATTTATTTTTAAGCCAGGATTAGAGCTAGAAACTTGAAACCTCACACAGCACTGCTCAATAGTATACTGTATTTTGTTGTGGTGTAGGTTGGTAGTAAATTTCCCCGTAAAATCCCCGTCTGGCAATCTCAAAATTCTACTTTTGTCCCGTCTTTTTTCCTCCATTTGGCAATACAATTCCAATGGGACCGGCTACGTTACAAGCAGTGCTGCTTTCTGTTGGTGTTTAGCGAACTACGTCGACTCTCGTTGTAAAGCAGGACATCCTCGCACGTTATTTGCTATTTGTCAGACCGAAATTGGAAAGTCAATCACACGCGGCAATCGGGTTTGTTCGATGCTGAGGGCTGCGCCGCACCTGGGATACGCCCGCCATTTGACGTGCCGCCGCGAACGTGTTAACGATCCACCGATCATCCCTAGTTCTACAACTGGATACAACATTACATGGGAATGTGGTATATACTTCACTAACACAGTATTGTATTTTTAGTTACTAAGAAGTATATGTATTCGAGAAGTCTTTACATAAACGTTATTCATTTGAAACCAATAACTAAAATGAAATGAGTAGCATGCTAATACAAAAATTTATTGGCTATTTAAAAAAAATGAAACTTCAAAGCCAAAAAATGCACGATGAACCCATTTCAGCCTTACCAGGTGTTGTGGCTTTCCCCAACAAAGCAGCTGAAAAATTTGATAAATCTAATAGTAAAAGCATTCATTCCTTATAAAAAAAATGGTGATTGTAAATTTGAAACCTGATAACAAGAGAATTAATGGATAGTAATGATTATAATAATGAAAAAATTGTTCAATGCCAAAAGTGTAACCTAATTTTTAGTAAAAATTATTGATTGTTACATTTCCCTGAAATATGATTGCACTAGATCCAATAAAGGCTCGATTATGTGTTTTAATGGGACTTTTTGAAACAAATTGCAATAATTCATAAAGGGTTGGTATCTGTTAAAACATGGATGTTAGAAGTACTTATTGTAAATTAATCTGCAAACAAGATAAATTTAGCTAAATAAGAAGTAAGTCATGATAGATTGATAACAAGCAAACTGGAAAAAGTATCCTAAATGTGAAATTAGACTTAACATTTTATAAGAAATGTAATAAATGATAACAAACCTGATGAAAGGAGGGCTTGACTTTCATCCTTACATTTAATTAAGTTGTGTATTGAGATGAGATATAAGATTTTAATTTTCTTGTAAAGATAACATATTTTCTTCCGTTTTAATTTGTTCTGAGAGATTATTGTAAATTTTCCTACCCGTGTACCATGGCGATCCTTCATACAGAGCTGTACTATATATTTCAGAGGATATTGAAGATCATTCCTGTTTTGGGTATTATATTGATAAGTGTAATTTTTCAACATAATCAAATGAATAAAACAAAACATTTCAAAACATACTGAACATACAATTCATACTGAACTCATGACTTTTGGAATTTAATGAATTTCCCCAATTATAAAAGAGAATTATGAATGTGAAGGATAATTCCCCAGAACAAAAAGATCATAGAAACTCATGGATTTTTATCTAAAGAAACTAGAAGACATCCTGCTACTTCCATTAGTATTGAATTGATATAAAGCTGAATAAATTGTGTTTCATTATGAGAACCACAACTTGGTCTTTATCAGTTTGGATGGTAAATTCTCTATTGTAAATAACACCTTATTGATAAAATATCTAATACGAACCTGCTGCAGTAGCTGAACCAGTTAAACTTGAATGTGCTGAAACAAAAGTATAAAAAGGTCAAAAATATTTTTGAGGTAGTGGTAAAAGCCCAAAAAATATCCCAAAGTTTAGGGAATTTCTGGCTTAATTATAAACTAAGATCTGAAAACGTCAAGAATAAATCCCAAATTATCAGTATTTGGTTTTGTTTGTAATCATTATTATAAAAACAAAACAAATATAATCATGACACAGAAGTAACGTGTATTTCAATATTACAGTACACAGCATTCTTGTAAAAATAGATACACCCAGTTCAGTGGCGTATCCAGGGAGGGGGCCGGGCCCCCCAATTTTTTTTTTTTTAGTTACCTTGTACACACGGCACACGGGAGCGTAGCAATGCGCGTTCTAGAAACACTCAAATGAGTGCGTACACACTACACAATACAAGTTGTTATTATATAAAATGCCGGATTACTGGAATGTTATCAATAAAAACACTTAAAATGCAATTAAAACACGTCTCCGAAGATCGCGCGATCGGAAACCGCTATTGCCGCGATCGGGCGTGACGACGATGACGTTTCCGTAATCGAGGGAAACGATGATAACGTGTACGGCCGCGGGAGATGTTCGTGATTTTGACGCGATCGCGCATGACGACGATGACGTTTCCGTGACCGTGGGAGATGTTTATGATTTTGCCGCGATCGCGCAAGTCGACGATGACGTTTCTGTGACTGCGGGAGTAGACAATGATGTTTACATGGCCGCGGGAAATGATAAAATCTTCGCCGCGACCGTGAAAGACCACGATAATGTCTACAGTACATGACCGCGGGAGATGTTCATGATTTTTCCGCGATCACACAAGACGACGATGGCGTTTCCGTAACCGTGGGAGGCGATGATAACGTCTATACGTCTGCGGGAGATGTTCATGATATTGCCGCGATCGCGCAAGACGACGATGACGTTTTCATGACCGCGGGAGAGAATGATGATATCTACACGGCCGCGGGAGATAATCAGAATTTTGCCGCGACCGCGGAAGACCTCCCGCCAAAAGACGCCGGATTACTGGAGTGCCGGAGTGGTACAGTGCCGATTATATAGGGTCTTCTGTACAATGTTTTATAATTAAAAAAATGACGGCAACTGGTACATATAGTGTCTACTTCAGTATCCAATAGTCATTGCGTGTACATTACATATTTTTGGTCGAGTTTTCAATCACTGGACGACCATTAGTATGCTTTATTCTATAAGTTGAGTGCAGTTTTATTAGCTTGATTTATTTTATTAAAATTACGTCACGCAGATTAATAGTAGTTTAGGCAACTTGTTTAGATTTCAGAACAGTAAAAAAATAATTTTTAGTAGTAATACACCAATATTATTCTCTACTTTAGAGCCTCCAGAGGTGTTGTAAACTGCAATTTATCACCATAAAATACCAAAATTTTTCCCGGGGGAGGACCCCCCTTCGGTCCTGGGGGGTATTCCACCCCCCAGACCCCCCGGATCGGGCCCCCCCCAAAGCAGAATCCTGGCTACGCCACTGACCCAGTTATATTTGGGTGAAATCAGACTTTCATACAATTACTGTAACATAAATATGTTGGTTTAAGTATGAGAAAATATAGAATATACTGTAGTTGACTCAAAAAGAAATACTCCAATCATTCAATCTGATACAAAATTGTCTACATAACAAAAATATCAAAATGTTACTTTAAAATCATAAACAGAAAAAAATCAAAAGACATTTTATTCATGTGGCATATAATAAGAGGTTGACAAAAATTCTGATGCAATGAAAAAACACATTGATTTAGAGCTACAATTATTCTACAGGTAGAAAAAAGGCATTGCAAGTTCTAAAAAAAAGTCTTGGGGTCATGCACAATCATTTACTCATAAAAAGGATGTTCTAAAATACAAATTATAAGTTTGTTATAAATACTGAATAAGGGTAAAATATAATATACAAAGGGTAAAATGGGGGATCTGAAATATCACAGACCTGGACTACTGAGACTAGATGTGCTGGACCCTATAAAACAAGAATATTCATTGGGCTGGCTGACTAGAAAAAGCAAATTCTTTAGTTGTTAACGTAAATTTTTATAATTTAAAGGAAAGCCAATTGGCTAGTAAGGAATGTTTTGAGGGGGAAAGAGGAATATAGTTCAGCTATCTTCCCTGAGAATATTAAGAGTCCAGGAAAAAAACACAACAAAAGAACAAAATAAAAGAACACACACAACACTGATATTTCGTTCTGATGTAGAGACTTATTCAGAGCGTAGGCTGATGAGAAATGCCAATTAAAATACTTATGTGGTGATTAAATTATTCAAGATTATAAAAACTCAAGATATCTCCAGTTTTGAACTTTAGTTGAAATTTTTTTCAACTTATTATCTAAAGAAGGAGGAAATATCATTGACACGTTTTGTGTTTTTTTTTTTTACTGTGTATTTTAGCCCCTGGACTCTTAATTTCCTCAGCTAATCTAGCTGAACCATATTCCTTTTAAAGAATTCCATTAATTTGTATTCCGTACGGTTTTACGGGTATTGTATGTAGCGTTTTGTTAAATGACAATGTTTCTGGGAATATTCTGTGTTAAAAATGTAAACTTACAATAAATTACTTCTATTTAGATGAACACGATGTAACATTTACCAGTGTGTTTTTGAAGCCTACTGATGGAGATATTAGAACAGAGAACTAACAAAGAATACAAACTGTCATTATTACGTTCACACTCCCTGTGTATAGGTTCTTTATATTTCAAAACCTCTCAAACTTGCTGTAAAGTACAAGAGTATTCTACTTCCAACCAGTTTTAAATAATTTTACTGTCTCCAGGAAACATGGAACTTTATAAAACCATGTTTGAAAATATTAACTTTACTAGACACAGTTATCGATCATGAGAACTAATTCATGATACTAAATTGATACATGGTAAAAACGGATAACAAAATCAAAATGTTGGCCAATTACTAGTGCAGTAGACTTATTAAGAATGGATTGGACAACAACATGTATGACAACTCGGTAGCTTTGTTCATAGTCATGTAGACTAAAATGTCACAACTTGAACATTTAGGACTCCTATGTATTTACATGATTTTGTTCCAGTATTCTTAAAATTTTGGATTGATATAGTTTTAATGATGGGAAAATTTATCCTTTATTTGTTAGTACCTTCCTTGTAGACTTCTTTTTCGGGATTTAAATACCATTTGAGGGGTCTAAATTGTGACAGACTTTGATCTGATCATGTTTTATTCTAGTTTGGGTATGTAAGCCAGAGACATTTTTCAGTTGTTTTACAGCTATGTATGTTAGCAAGTTGAGGCAAGTTCCTACCTGTTGGTGAGTTTGCCGCAGTGATTGCCGCCAGTGTGACCAGATTCTGCATGTTTATCGGGTTAACTGCAACATTTAAATTTGGCTTGTAGATTATATTGTGAAAACAAACACATAAATAATATTACAAAAGAAATCTGCAAACTTGATGAGTATTATTTGACAGCTACCCGAGTTGGAGGCTCAATTTGTAGCATGACTGGCTACAAAAACCATGACGGTTTGTCTCCTGGCAGTAGCTACTAAATTTTATCCTTTCAGTTCACTGAGTACCCTAGCTTTGTCAGAAGACTAAATAGTATTTATTTAGTAGTCATTTAGATCTACAATGATAAAAAAGATGAAATTATCCTACGGCAAGAGTCATATGCAACTCTAAACACAAAAAGCTAAAGGAGTCTTTTAGATTGGTAACAGACAAAAAATAAATTTTACCATGATGTAAGTAGTCAATTTTTTTAAGTTAGCCATAACTTAATACTCTAGATCAGGGTTGCCACCTTTGGATAGGGAAAAGTCAGGGCGGGTCCTCATCCACCTCATCCCCCTAGGATTAGCATAGATATAAAAACGAGCAAAATACTAAAGTTGGGACTGTCCTGACAGAAACGGTTTAATTGTGACAACCCTACCCTAGATAAACTGATCTTAAGCAGATATAAATTAAAATGGACAGTATGATAAGAGTTGATCTGGTAAAAGATGCAGTCAGTTTAGAATGTAAAGGAGCACTGAATGTGTGTGGTGCTGTAAAATAAAAAGGTATTCCTCATCCTTCATAAAGTTCACAATTTCAGTGACAAAGCACAAGTGACAAGGATGTCATCAAGAACCTTATAATTTAGATTTCAATACAGCAATAGCCACATAAAAATAGCCCTGTCAGTCATAATGTGTTCTTTAGTGTTTAAATGATTTGGCTGATGTCCACTAATTATTTTGGGCTTGTCTTTAGCATGAGAAGACAATGGACTGCCAGCGAGACTGTTAGCACTAGACAGTTGTTTGAAGCTTTCAGTCAAGTTTCGGGTCTGACTGTCAATTAAATTTAGCTCTTTATAAACAACATTCACAGATCAATCTTGAGAATTCAGCAATGAAAAAACAACTGGTCGAATCCAATAATGTACAGTAATAGCTGGCTGGATGTGCAATAATGTAGACAGTTAAGAAGGGTACAAATATTGTGGTGCCGATTTACCGTTATAAAAAATAATATGAAAACTAGGATAAAAATCTGCCGATCGACAATATTTGACAAAATACTGTGTGTGTTGGATCTATATTCTGTTAATTAATTTTATATCTGAATCACAACATATCAAATCTTCAAGACTTAAACCACAATCTAGATTTACTCACTAGCAGGGAAATTAGCTAAGGAGGCCAAGCCTTGGAGGTTGGCAGGATTGATTTCTCCCAGGCTTGCTGTTGAGCTGTTCAGCGCTGAGAGGTTAGGCAGGGCTGAAAAATATGAGAAATATTACACGGAGATTACCTTAGGCCATACTCTCCAAATCAGAATGATTTAATGTTATTATGTTCACCTGTCTTTTTAAGCATCTTATATATCACATCAACTATCTCAGCTACCAAAATTAAGGGAGAAATAAAGTTGGCAATAGCTGAATGATTCATTTAAATGGGATGTCCACTACAGCATTGTAAAGTCAATGCCATAAAATTTTACTTTCTGGTACAAGTTTTGCAAAACTATGTAAATGTATCATGATTGATTTGGGTTGAAATCAGTATTCCGAGGCGTGTTGAATTTTCCGCACTCATCTTAGTTTTGCACTTAAAATATGATTTAGGCAGAGGAATAGCTCCCTCTTGAGTTTCAAGATGACTAATAATGAGTAAAAATGTGTAACGCATGTTTTATTAAACATTAGACCTCTGATAAGTATAGTAAGATATACCAAGGAGATGCTGAAGCTGAAACCAATCTTCTATCATATATTAATATTTTCTTGCTGTATTATACACTAGTTCCAGGTATTGCAAGAGAAAGTTTTACAACCAAATGTTATGTATCAAAACAGCATTAGTCAAGCAGAAATTCATAAAGTTTGAGGAATATTAAACAATGTAAATTTTGAGGAGTAACACTCAAACATTAACATCTGACTCCTGTAGACAAGAAGGCAAACTTTCTGATGGGAACTTGAAATCGAGGAAATTACTGAAGCATGTTTCAAAAACTTTTCTGTTTGCACAATAGATAAGTCTGGCAACAATATTTCTCGCTGGAGGATTTATTTCGATGCTTTTCATTTTGTTTCTCAAGCTGTAATAATCTTAAATCTTGTTATACTTTTCAATGAACTCAATGTTGAAAGTTATTGAGTTATTAAGAATTACTTTAGTAATTAATTTACACTGGAGTAGTTCGAAATTGTTTTGACAAAATTTATCGTTGTCTCACTAAACTTTTTCTTGTTACAATAAAAAACATGAACAATTTTACCCATAAACCCACAATAATGATATTAGCTAATTAAATTGACTTTTATTTAGGTGTTCTTAATTTTAAATTTTGATTAATTTATCTAGAAAGATTAACAGACTTGTTATGAGTGTTTAGTAAATAAGGATGGTAACAGAAATGGCTCTACGAATAATGTCAAAAAATATTGTAAAACAAAATAAAGAAGATACAATGAGCAAATGGAATTATACCAATTGTAGTTGCCAATTACATTGGAAGGTTCCGCAACATTAATGAAATAATGCTACTCGAATACTGCCACCATTTCACTTTGTCCATTGCTTCTATTGCACTACAAAGATCCGATTAGGTTGATTATCTTCAACACTTAGTAGAGTAGTGGTTTATTTGATTAACACTTTAAAACTGGTATACTGCACTGATTTCAGCCTTATTGTCAACGGATTGTATGTATTTATGATTTTATTTAGAAGAATTATGCAATATCACAATAATTGAGTTGAACTTAATCCAACCATTGACTATTGGATACTCTTACACAATAAATGTTTTACCATTTAATTACAACGAGAGCACGCCCCGTGGTCGAAAAATCGACCAAAAGTATGTTTTGTGCAAACTTCTCTATTTTCACCCCACACTGTAAATAAAACATGTGATTGGAATGTCTTCCATTTGTTTTGATTTTCTGTTTATATTTTGTTGTTATTTCGTCATCACCATAGCAACCCATAAGACCCATGTTAATTTTTTAAAATTTCAAATTCATTTGTTGTGCTTATTTTTGAGCCTATTTTAATTTATAAAGGTATTCTGCACACCTACAGGAAAATAGCTTTCTAACGGTATGCGTAGATTTTCCCTACGATACTCACGAGCTGAGAAAAAAGGTTTTAAAGAAACATGCTTGCCTATTAATATATAGATAGATTGTTATAAAATGAGAGATACAATGAATTACATTTCTTTCTTTGTTACATTTTTTAACTATCAACAGTGTTATATTTAGTCAGGTTGGGTAGCAGGAAAATATTTCAGTTCTGGCAGAGAGGCTGCAATTTTAGGTGGTTATAGTATACAAGTTTCTGAACCTAAAACCGCCCAGACCCCAATTTTTAAGGACCTGGGTCGTCCGTAATGACGTCATCAAAATGGCGGCCGTAAGAGGATGCTGGGTCCCCATGAATTGGCTATAACGACCGAATGCCTGAACCGATTTTCATGAAATTTGGCACACAAGTGCTTGAATACATTATCTCGGCCTGGGTTGAAAATGGTCAAGTTTCATCACGTCATTTCAAAATGGTGGTTGTTCAAAAATAAAAAAAATTGAGAAAAATAATTGTGAATTGTTTTATACAGGGTGAGTTTTAAATGAGTTCCCCCCCCCCTACTTTTTTATACATTTCTTAAGATATCAACTTTAAACCATGTCAGATCATTCTAGTGTAGCAAGTACTTCATTTTGACTGGGTTTAAATTTTTGGCCGCCATCTTGGATCTGCCATTTTGGATAAAAAGTTATTTTTTCAAATGTAAAGGTAGGGTTGTGTCCCACCGTTTCAAACAAGGCTTTTACGCTGAATACGATGCTGCAATCCGTTAAAAAAATTTTGATCCATTCCTAAGTTATGAGAACTTTTTATAACTTTATTTTTAGTCCATTATAACATTGTGCATTTACAAACTAAGGCCACAATCTCAAAATAGTGCTAGATAAAGATAAGTGGACACCACCATTCATTGTTGACCTATTTTCACTCGGTTATGACGGATGTATTTTTTTCAGCCGCCATCTTGGATCTGCCATTTTGAAGTGTGATAAATTATTTTAAATATGAAGGTGGTGTTGTGACCCATTATTGTGAACTACTTTTTTATGTTGAATTCAATGCCGCAATCCGTTTTTCATTGTCATATTTGGTTTTTGAAATATTGACATTTTAAATCAAAATAATTGTTATATTTTATCAAGAAAGCTTGATAACAAAAAACGGATAAAATAAAACCCAGTCAAAATGAAGTACTCGCTACTCTACAATTATCTGACCTGGTTCGGAGTTGATATCTTAAGAAATGTATAAAAAGTAGGGGGAACTCATTTGAAACTCACCCTGTATAAAACAATTCACAATTATTTTCCTCATATTTATTTTAGTTTTGAACAGCCGCCATTTTGAAATGACTTGATGAAACTTGACCATATTCAACCCAGGCCGAGATAATGTATTCAAGCACTTGTGAGCCAAATTTCATGAAAATCGGTTCAGGCATTCGGTCATTATAGCCAATTCATGGGGACCCAGCATCCTCTTAGGGCCGCCATTTTTATGACGTCATTACGGACGACCGAGGTCCTTAAAAATTGGGGTCTGGGTGGTTTTAGGTTCAGAAACTTGTATACTATAACCACCTAAAATTGCAGCCTCTCTGCCAGAACTGAAATATTCTGCCATCGAGTGCCATCATATGCAGCTATACGACCCCACTAATTCCTCTTCCTGACTTACTTAGGTATTAAAAAATACTAGCGAACATCTATATTCACCGAATCCACTTGAGGAATAACAACTGTCCCACAAATATAACAGAAATGTACATGAAACAATGTTGAACTTCTTAATTCACCTTATCTTTCCATTATGTCTCAAAATCATGTAGGCTGTATGGCTTAGTTTGGAGGACATTGAGGCAGTTTTTATAACTGAGCATTGTTATAGACCTGACCTTTTGCCTACTATCTTCACTATCACTGACTCACTCAGGTATACTCCCCAGTCCCCCCATGGCCCAATGCTCTTCTCTGATAACCAAAATCTGGCATTAGAATTACCAATCATGTGATGGTTTTCATCAAAGTACCTTTATTCAAGTACCTTACATAAAAAAAAAAATTAACCCTTAGTTATTTTCCTATGTATTGTAACCCAGCCAAAACACGGATATCTACTCAAGTAGGATTTTCCTTATTTTAGTTACACTTTTTTTATTCAAGTCAACTTATGTTCAACGTCAGACAGGAAATTAATTATTTACTTAACTTTATTTAGTTACTTTTTTTATTTCAATAATTCTATGTTCTATAGACTTAGATCTATTTGTCAGTAAGGGATTTCTTTGTTTAGTTTAAGTTTAAAAATTCCATAAATGTACCATACTGTAACTGTTCATGGGAAATGAAAATAATTGTATTTTTCTTACTGTGGTTGCAAATCCGTTGTACAAGATTAGGTTGGCCAATCTTATCACCAACTTCGCTTTCTATAAGAATGGCACACTCATCATTATCTCCACTTTATACAGGACTGGGTCCCTCAGTCTACTCTAGTTACATACCGGAGTCCCTCACTCTACTCTAGTTACAAACCGGAGTCCCTCAGTCTACTCTAGTTACATACCGGAATCCCTCAGTCTACTCTAGTTACATACCGGAGTCCCTCACTCTACTCTAGTTACAAACCGGAATCCCTCAGTCTACTCTACTTACATACCGGAGTCCCTCACTCTACTCTAGTTACAAACCGGGGATCCTCAGTCTACTCTAGTTACAAACCTGAGTCCCTCAGTCTACTCTAGTAACAAACCAGAGTCCCTCAATCTACTCTAGTTACAAACCGCAGTCCTTTAGTCTACTCTAGTTACAAACCGGAGTCCCTCAGTCTACTATAGTTACAAACCAGAGTCCCTAAGTCTACTCTAGTTGTTACAAACGGGAGTCCCTCATCTACTCTAGTTACATACAGGGGTCCCTCCTTCTACTCTAGTTACATACCAACCTGAGTCCCTTAGTCTAATCTAGTTACATACCAGAGTCCCTCAGTCTACTCTAGTTACATACCGGAGTCCCTCACTCTACTCTAGTTACAAACCGGAGTCCCTCACTCTACTCTAGTTACATACCGGAGTCCCTCAGTCTACTATAGTTACATACCGGAGTCCCTCACTCTACTCTAGTTACATACCGGAATCCCTCAGTCTACTCTACTTACATACCGGAATCACTCACTCTACTCTAGTTACAAACCGGGATTCCTCAGTCTACTCTAGTTACAAACCTGAGTCCCTCAGTCTACTCTAGTAACAAACCGGAGTCCCTCAACCTACTCTAGTTACAAACCGCAGTCCCTTAGTCTACTCTAGTTACAAACCAGAGTCCCTAAGTCTACTCTAGTTACAAACGGGAGTCCCTCATCTACTCTAGTTACATACAGGGGTCCCTCCTTCTACTCTAGTTACATACCAACCTGAGACCCTTAGTCTAATCTAGTTACATACCGGAGTCCCTCAGTCTACTCTAGTTACATACCGGAGTCCCTCAGTCTACTATAGTTACATACCGGAGTCCCTCACTCTACTCTAGTTACATACCGGAATCCCTCAGTCTACTCTACTTACATACCGGAGTCCCTCACTCTACTCTAGTTACAAACCGGGATTCCTCAGTCTACTCTAGTTACAAACCTGAGTCCCTCAGTCTACTCTAGTTACATACCAGAGTCCCTTAGTCTACTCTAGTTACATACCGGAGTTCTGCAGCAGCAGTTGTGTGCCGAGACTGTTCTGGCTGCCGTTCTGTAGCTGAGACAGCAGCTGGAGCTGTGACGCAGTGATGTACGACTGGGAATCAGTCTGGAAAACATACCACAAACTGTCACATTTTCTATGGTTCAGTAATATTTAACATTTTCAACAAACTAATTGAATTTTTTTTTTATGTAATTGTACATTTGAAACTATTACATGTTCACAGTGCTGATCTGGACTTGTGGAAGTGTCATGATCTATTCTTTAGATAATCTGCAATAGGACCATATCTTAGCCTTCTCTATTACAAGGCCTGTTGCTATGGTTGTAACAAACATGTAAACTAACATTGCGCAGACGCTTTGAATGGATTAGTGCAACAATTGTTTCTGAAGGGCGGTACTGAGGCTAAAAAATCAGCTGATCTCAGTCTCTATCGAAACTGTTATTTCTCAAATTAAAGTAAAGACTCACCCCTATTGGCTGACCCATGGTTACGTAGGAAGGTAAGGCGTTCAACCCAGCCCACAGATCCGACTGCAGCTGCTGATATCTTTTTTGGTCCTTTTCCTTTGGAGTGTCAGCGAATTTTACGACCAGAGATGAAGTGCAGCCCTGGTGACATTAACATTTAGTGAAATGTGTCTGAGAAATTTGTTTACAAACATTTTGCTTTTTTAAAATAAGTTTAGGACCCAGCTTATTTGACATTAAATGACTTTGGGATTTAGATACAATAACATAGCCTTACTAAGGTTTATTTAATTGGATAAAATATTTGATCATTAGTTTTTTAGACATTATTTTTGTACATAGGTATAACAATGAGGAAACAAATTAAACATTTTAAACCGTGTCAAGGCAAAAGGTTCTCTCAAGAACCTGATATATTTATTACAACCTGACACAAATTTAAGGGGAACACAGTTTTGATGAATCACATAAAGCGTAATTATTGATATTACACAATACAAATATCATGCAAAATACACGAGATATATGTGGTGTGCAGAACATCTCGACTATTCTTTTTGTAAAATTTTCCTTTTCGGGTATCCCGTTGTTAGTAAAAGCTGCACAATTAAAATACTAGACACCTCACACATGAGAAATTCGCTCGAGGTGAGATTACTCCAAGCGGTATATACAGTTCTATGACAATATTGTACATTGAACACAAACTCGGACACAATGTGACACATAATGAAAATCATGCAATGTAGACATTACTATTCTTTTTGTTTGCAATTTTTGAAAACATTATTTGACAAGTGAGTTCAACAGGTTTTACAGATATTAGCCGTTCCAAAAATGTTCTACCTGTAGAGTATTCTTTTTTGATCATAGATTAAATAGCACTTACAAACTTATTACCAGAACTAATTCATACTACAAGAAGACGAGGCTTGTGTTAATTTGTCTCTTATACAACTAGAGGTGGGGCAGAGTTACTTACAAACTCATAAGTTTCAATAATTTTTCAGAATAATTATTTTACATGATGGGCATTAGAGAATGTTTTTAAAATTTAAAAACTACATACAACAACAAATTTTGAGCAAAAAACACCTCCAGCATTACATGTTTTATTACCATTACATAATATACACCTTCTCCTAAGCAACTCATCCCATAATACAGGTTTATTCAGGGAGTATTTAGATTAAAGATACTACCATTGACTATTAGATACTGAGGTAGACATCCCATTTCTATGGACTAGCTGTCCCCAATTTTTTTATTAAAAATGAACGTAGTCGTGTGAGCCAGTCACAAAATGCTCTAGTGTCTAACATTATATGTTCAACCTTATTTTTTGTTGCTGACACAGTTTCGTTTTAAGGATTAAATTAAAGATTCCTTTATCTCTTACACGATTTAGTTTTGAACACTCAAAAGATTAAATGAATATCATTTTACATTAAACAAAGTAAAATAAACATCTACACATAGATTATGAGAACATTATTCGTAACCAAAGTAAAGTATTAAAGTATAAAATTGCTATAAATATAGTCATAGACCAAACATACTCCCTTAGTAGACTTCTCATCCTTATGGATCAGCTGAAGCCAATTTTATTGTTAGTTCTGTCCAGTGCACTGTAGGGGTAGCGTTTTGTTTACAATTTGTTTCTTGTTATTTCTGAGTTTTAAAGCCCCGTTCAACCAAAAAAACGATCTAATCATAAACGATAACTTGTCTCCTACTACTAGTTATATAGCCAAACAGTAAAGCACAAATCATGAAATTAACCATAAAATAATAGAAACAAAATTTTGTCAACACTAGCGCCCATGTATCACGTACATGAACTAGACACGAAAAAACAAGCTTCAAAATTTACAATGGGATGAGAAGTCTACTTGTGTTGGTTAGTCCATGATATAGCTCAAAAAACCCGTTCCATTGACTGCCCCGGTCACGGAAACGTCATCGTCCGCGATCGCGGCAAAATCATAAAAATATTCCACGGTCGTGTAGACATCATCATTGACTGCCCCGATCAGTTTGATCAGTTTGTTTTGTATTGTTGTATTTGACAGAAATTTTAATTTACATCACCACAATCCAGTGGCTCACATCAACTTGTGAACCGGGGGATAGAATGTCTAGTTGTACCAATAGTCAAAGATACTACCTTATAGATTTCTCATCCATAAAGACCTACGAAACTTCAGTGACTTACACTGTTTTTACTACTTGACATGAAAACAATACTACACATTTAACGTAAGGTAACTCGGCCCCATGCTTAACCTTAACTACAGACTAGGGAAGGCCCTACCTCCATGGTGATAGAATGGTGCATGGCCTTAATAGCGTTGAGCGCACACTGCCTGGTCATATAAGTGACAAACGCACAACCTTTGCCAACAGAGAAACAAACACATACAGGACATGATCAAACAAGACACAGAATCTGACATTGCCTTCTGTGTAAGCGGAACGTGTTAGTGCGGAACCCATGCTTCTGATTTTGCTTAGTCTAGACTTTAAAATTGAAAATACTACAATCAGAACTAATTTGACAGTGTTTATGCTTTAGATGTACTTGCACTACTCGTTTAGATTCAAATTAAAACGCTATGAAATAAAAAATGTAAAAATATTTTTCCTTTAAGGTGCTATAGAACAGAACTGAAAACAGAAAATATTCTCATTAAAAGTTCTTGTGTCCAAACCAATTGCTTGGTTTGGACTTACAATTTTGAATGCACGATACAATTGTTTGATACAAACTGTTTTCTTTTAGGAAAGTGAAATAGTACAGGAAAGGACTGAAAACAAAATATATTTGGCTGACAAAAGAGGGCTAAAAATGTTGAACATCAAGTTTTCTAATAAATTTTTCCCATAACATTAACCGCACGTTCCGTAACAGTTCAGTAACAGTTTGTATTAATTTATTTGGCAGATCTAGGATTGTGAACTAAAAAAAGTTTTATTATAGGTAGTTAATAAAGACTCAGAGAGAGACAATTCGTTTTATAAACTGATCAAAATTAGATTAAAAGAATGTTATTTTCAATAATTGAGTGAAATAAAAACATTAAAATCTGTACAAATTTTAAACAAAAATATTGAAACTTAAAAACCTTTTTAACAAAGATTACCCCAAAGCACAGACAAAAGAAGAATAATCAAAATGGTTCTCTTGTCTCTGCCCAAAGTGTGAATTATTATGTGCTTACACTGGACCTTAATACACACAATATACAAGGTATTTGTAAAGCGATGAACAGAAAATAGAAGAAAGATTTGCGTTATAACAATGGGAAAAGAAGCAAATACTCATGCAACAAAATTTCAATAATAGAGCAAACAAGTAAACACAATTGTGAGCTAACAACTTTTACAGAATATTGTTAAAAGAACAAACAAAGACATTTTCATTTTAATTTAATTGATATTTCACTTGGATCTTTGACAAGTAAAACAACATTAGAGGAAAGCAATGTCTGAATCTGTGGTTTGCTCAATATGAGTGAACATCTGTAAATGTAAGGAACATTAAAAGAGACATTAACAAACATAGTTTAGTAAAGCGTAACATAAATGCATGGATGATTACAATCAACATTTAACCAAGAATATTGACACCTGATTTTTACTATTCTATAATAACAGTTTAAATGAAAACTGTATAGCAAAACTAAAATACCTGCAACAATAACTTGTGAAGAGAATGTGAGCATACACAATTTCAAAAAATACATAAACATAAAAACTAGTGAAAATAACACCTGAAAAATTAAAGTAGTTGCAAGTCATGTGGAAAAATGTGTTTTAAAACAGAAAACAGGGCTAATTATAAACTGTTCACTAAAATCTGTTGATACTAAATAGACCCACCAAATAAAAGTTTAAGATTTATAAAAAAAACTTTACGTGACTCTTTGTAAACGAGATCTACAATCATTGACAATTTTATCATTTTCTAACTTTTATTTATTTATGTCTTCGATCACCAAAAATCATTCTTTACTGACTGGTATTCACAAAAATTAATATACTAATTATTCCTTATGAGAATGTACAATTAATAATTTAATTTTGAATTTCAAAACAATAATACTTTGCATGATTGTGATACTTAACTTTGATTGGGAGAAAATGAAAATTATTGTACAGAAAAAAAAAATTGTAGAAAAATACTGTGCAAATTATTATTATTGTCATACTACAACATGAATAAAATTATTGTAAACATACGATGATTACGTACACTTGGCAACACTGCCTCACCTTTACTCTGGCCATTGGCGTCCCTCAGCACCGTACACTCTTCTATGTGTCCGAACGTCTCAAACATTCCTCTTACGTCCAACTCCGTACATCTCTTAGCCAGCATCCCCACGAACAGCTTCCGTTCTGCAACAAAACAATCATATGATCTACACTGTCTATGTCTATACAACATACGAGTGAGCTGAGGAGAGTCAAATTGAATGAATAAAACATTTTTCATGTCCCACCTTCACATCTTTCGGTGCTAGGATCTCCCCGATCTCCCCTGTTACTTCAAGCTGGGATAGAGGGTTGTGGCATCACATAGATAAAATGGTGATTCGCAGAATTCGAACCCGGGACCTCGTGAATCGAAGCCATCACACGAGTATTCTTCAGCTAAAAAAATCCTACAAAGCAACTGTTTTAGGAACTGATTTTCAGACCACTCTGAACTATCAACAAGATGTTAGTTAAACAATATTGCATTACATTTTTCAATTAACTGTTCATTTTTAGAATGCACAGTTTGAATGAGTGGCCAACGTTCAAATATCTACCATTCACTTTGAATAAAATAAGTCTTCTCATGCTATAGTAAAATTTGACGATTATTTTAGGTGTGTTTTATGTTGGCTCAAATAATTTTCTCTTATCTTTTATCTCGAATTTTTCTTTAATCTTTCGTTACAATGGTAGCAATGGGTATAAAATATAATTTTTGTGTTAAAAAGGTTTGAAATTTGGTTAAGTAACAAGAAAATTCCACAAAACCTATAGGGAGTATTTAAAGTCTGTGATATTATATGGTCTATTCTCTGTGGTGATATGATCTAGCATTTGGTAATTCGGATCTGTGTTTAGAGGAATTGCTGTTTTACCGTTAATTCTTTATTAATGGTTGCACAGAGTAAACATACGCCCAGATTCATCATCCATAGTTAAGCTGAAGAAAATTTAATGTTACTTCCGATCATTTAAATATATGGCATGTTAAGTCGTTTAAAGCAAATCAAGACAAGTAATATTGCTCTTCAACATTACTTAAACAGCTATTTGACTCCCGCGTCCGAGTGGAGAGTTTATGGTAAGCAAGCGTCAAAGAGATTGTGAGGAGCATGACACTGAATTAGCCTTCCTCTATTCTAACCTGAAGCACGTGCTAAAGTACAGTCTGAGCCAGAAGTGCTATGTCCTAGCAGGGACTGTACCTCGGTAGTCAGTCAGGTGGATCCAAACAAACTTGAGTGGCACTCGATAGGGATAGGTGATGGTAAGTTATGGAAGTAAGAAAACTTTCTGGTTTTTCAATCGAGAGAGGAAAAAACCAATGAATAATTAAAATATTCCAGTAATTGCTTTATAAAGTTAATAATATTAAATGTGTATTTAAACTAATGTTTACTCCTAAGTACCACAGTTAGTTAACAATGATTGTGAGCAAATACCATTAACAAAAAAATTTCTCAAATAATACTGAATGGATTGCAATACAAAAACTGAAAAAAAAATAAAACAGCTTCCTCATGCAAAGATGCATGTAGATAAATCTTAAAATTCGTCTTTACGGACATTTAATAGTTTTTCCCCATAGTTATTTTAAAAATATATAAACTCTTGCATAAATAAATCTGTATACATACAGTAGACTAAAAATTAACTTTCACATGACGACGGAACTAGATAAAAAAACGTAAAACGTTATTAAAACTCGTAAAATTCTTCTTTCTCGTTGTGTTAAATATCTTTGTGTAATTTTGGTTAGTTGCTCGCTACCTAAACAATATAGGCTATGTTCAAACTTCATTGGATTTCAATAAAACTGCACTGGCTGATGAAACAATTGGCCCTTAATAAATCTAAACGAGAAAAATGTCTCCAAAATAATTAATTCAGCATAGTTTTTATATGATGAATTATATTGAAAAACATCATATAACTGTCATAAAGTATACGTGACACAAAATGTATGCTTATAATTTTGGTTTTAACAATTTTAAACAGGTTTTCCAGAGGAGGATTATCAAGAGTACAAGAAATTCTAGAGTCTGACGGAAAAACGAAACGTTGCCACAAATTGTCATCAAACCGCCATAACCATTACATCGGCGGTTAATCGCTTTCGTTATCGTCTCTTCGCCGGTAGAGGCTACATAAAAACTGGGGGTTAATTACATCAAAGAATTAGCTTGGAGAATCAATGTTTGCCTTTCCTGAATGGAAAATTGCAAGATGAGCACTTTTAGTAAACATGGTGCTTTGCTTTAACTTAGGTATATTATCATAGTTGATGAAAAACATATTTCGAAACGAGTACAACATTAAACTAATTAGTTAGTAGGGGTTAAAAATTGATACATGCATTCATACCAACTATTCCTTTATATTTTTGACGCACTCTATGCTCAGGTCATATTAGAAATATTTATAGTTCTCCATTTATAGCAAACTCGTTTAAAATTTGGAACTTGGCTCTGCATCGCTTGCCTGGTGGTTAAATAGTACTGTAGTACCGTAGTACTATTTACTTTTGGATAGTAAATCTATGTACAGCAGCGGAAACCAAATTTTTAATAACAAAGGACCTTCTGGGATTTACCATTCAAAGAGTGAGCTACTTAAGAAATATTTTGTTTCTCCATTTAGTGTAATTTGACAAGATTAAAAAATCTAAAATAACTTGTCCTTTGAATTAAGTTTTGTTAAAATGTTGGCGTATAAAAAGTATCTTTAATTTACAACAGTGACCTCTGAAGGTGGCTAAGTTAAACTATGTTTATTTTAATTATAAACCTAGCTATTTAAGCTATATTACAATTTGTACTGTTGTAGTTTGCTTGCTTATGAACATATTTTGCATCAAATTTGAAAAATGCATTTATTTATTACTTAACTATTAAAATAAAAAAAAAACCCTAAGTACTATACTCATTAAACTAATTCTATTTAAATAGGGAATAAATGTGATATTTTTAAGGAGGAATTTTAGTGTAAATCCAATCAGGCAAATGGAAATTCGCTTAGTCTGAAGGTTTGCTGCGGCGGGGGTATTTTACTATGTAAAACGATCGTAGTAGAGTTCCTTGGATGTTATAATGTGTACAATTACGGAAAAATTCGCGTGAAATCTACAAAACTGGTTCAAGCTGGAAAGAACAATTTAAGAGTGGAGTTTTTCACAGTTAGCGGCGCGGCGGTTCGTGTAAATGAATATTAACTCGAGACTGGAACGACCCATCAAGAGGAAGATATTTTTTAACCCCTGCTTCTTTTGATAAGTCAAACAGTGACTTGGTTCATGTAAAACAATTGTGTGTTATTTCAACACAAAAATTTCACCTAAAATCTTTGCCATTGGATAAAAAACATCTTGTTTCTAACAAATACATTTTTGCCTTAGATTGACAGAAAAGAGTATCCGTCTTCTACAAAAACTAACTTAATCGGGGAAAAAACCTATGCATTTTAATGTACACTTTCCACTCTTTACATAATATATTACAACAAAAATATCATTCAAAATACCCTCTAGTGACTTTAGTGATTTTTTTATTAAATTAGTTTCATATTCCAGCATTTTTGCTCTTTTTCACATAGCAATATGAATAATCTTGCATGATGTAAAGGACTGTATAAGAATTACACTGTAATTTACAGCATCATTGTTAATCTATTTATTCTAAAATTGACACGGGAATAAAATAATTACTTCGCGGAAGACGTTTTTGCAGGTAAAGATAAAAGCCGTTAGCTTAAATAATTAAATAGGTTTAACCAAATGGTTTAAGTAGTCTTGGTTGTGTTTGTTCCAAAAATAGGCCCACTTGAGGCAGCTAACAATCCCGCCACTTCCGGTCAAGATAACCATGGTTACAGGAAGGGACGAGAGCATTTCCTCTCTACAACCACTTTAAGATGGATATTTTAAAAGTTAACCTTATAGAAGTTAAATCCACATTACTGGCTACTGCAAGCTTAGGGTTAGAATTGCAATAATGTTTCTACAAACTTACACTTTTACCCTAATAGATTTATAAAATTAAACTATTTCTAATACATGAACAAATATGCCTATTCATGATGCAGCAAGTCTACAATGCGAGTGATTTTCAGTTTCACGATCGATTAAAAATGTGTAACTGATTCGTTTTTATTTGTACTAATCAATATAGTAATTTAAAAATAAACCAATGGAAACAATTACCCATTGGACCCATTGCACGTTTGTACATAAAACCTAATTTCACCAAAGTATAGAAGTCTGTAACGGAAACGATTTGATTTTATCTATTTTTATCAATTAGTTTAAACTAAAAAGCAATCTGTTACTGAATGAATCAGCAGCAAGTGAATCTTACACATTTGAAAAATTATTTTTATGTTCATGTACAAAATTGTTCAAAATTAAATCTAATTGAATAAATTTACCGTCACTAAAACAGTTATAAATAGCTGATTTAATTCCACTACAATTTCCGCGGATTACGTTTTTTCACGATAGTTCCAAGTGGTAAACACCGTTCCGACTCATTCATAGCCCTGTAATATGTGGAAGGTTGTTTTCTGGTAGTTTTATAAATCCCCAGCCCTCAGGTTTCCGCCCCATTAAATAGGGTATTGCAATGTGTATAAATCTTTGAAAACTGCCGCACTTCTATTGCAATTGTTGGTTCCCACTTTCCCGGAACACTTTATCACTGGCGGGATTTCAACTCTATTAGTCATTAGATTGCTACATTCTTTTGGGTTAAAAATTGAATTCTTTAACAATGAGACACTGAAACACTGGAATAAAACATTTGTTTGCAAGAATGACTACAACAAACAAAATATAATGATTAGAAATCGTCTACATAAAGCTAGTAAAAGTTTGAAGTTGAACGTTTTTTTAACGATTAACTGGGGATTAATAATTACAAAATCTATTTTCTGTCGACTCTTTATATAATGCTCACCTACATTGACGTTGAATAAAAACCACTAATACTTAAACTATGCGCTACTGTAAAAGGTATTATTTCTCTCTTAGTTTTCGATACTACGTCCATAGAATAGAGAAACAGCTTGATGTGGAAAATTGATGTTTATTCACTTAATGCTACGACAGTCAATAACACATAAATTATGCTATTTTTGTTTAAGAT